GTGTCGTAATACGTACATGTCCGAGAATGCGCTGCTGGTCGACCTCATGGATGCCCGAAGTGACCACACAGAAGCTCGTGCAGCTCATGATATGCAGCAGAAACTGCTCAGGCTGCCGGATGTACCGTCTCGAGGCTGCGGAGACAACTGCTCAGCGGTTGTAAACTGGATCGACGCCGAACTGCGGGGTCTAGACCGTGTAGAAGTGTATCGTCAAGAGTTCCAGTTAGATGCGACGTCTGCACCTCGGACGAACGTGTACGGCGTTCTACGGGCCTCGCCATTGGCTGATGGCAAGGTACGCAATTGACCATTAGAGCTGTCATCGGTGCTGTTGTTGTTTGTTGTCGGTGCCATTGGTAGACAAACGTTTGTGTTACTTCGTTATTTGGTTGATTCTACAGGAAGCGATTGTGTTGGTGACGCACTATTGTAACGTCGGTGCTGGTATTGGCGACTCCTCAGGATTGTCAGTGGGACTTGCGTTGCTGAACTATCTTGCCAAAGCAAAGTGGTTGGCGAAAGATGTGATTCTTTTGGCTGCTGACGGTAAGGCGATGGCGAGATTGCTATGTTTTATGAGCAAGGCTTTGGGTACTGAAGCGCGATTGTTTGCTAGACGGTGCGCTGGATGGCAGTGACGGATTTGCTTTCGGAACAGAAGCGTGGCTGCAAGCGTACCATTTGGATTCTGTTCAGAGCGACTTGCAAGAGGGCTTGCCCATGCGTGCCGGTATCATACGTGCCGCGATCAATCTAGAAACAATGCCGAGCTCGCATCCGGTGGGGGCGGTTGGAATCTATGCAGCTGGCATGAACGGTCAGCTTCCAAACCTGGACCTCGTGAACACTGCAGTACGTGCATTCCGCCGACACCGAATTCCTACGGTTCTGGACCGTGCTAGTGTCCAGCAAGTGGAGGGACACGTGCACGAGAGCTACGTGTCATCTGTGCTCAGCTGGATGAAGTACGTTTGCAAGGAGTACGCTGGGGTGGGGCTGGAACAAGGTTTATTGGCTTACTTGGACAACCTAAAAGGAATGTTGCACTTCATGACAACGCTCGCATCAGGTTCTTCAGGTCCTCACGCGAACTTCATTAGCTACAACATCGACAGTGTCACACTCTCGCTGACAACGAGTCCGAATGCAGGCGATCGTCCGCTCTCTACTCGCGGGGTCCTCCGGTCAATTGAGATGGTGGTCCGTGCAGTGAGCAACATCGAAGAGAAGCTGCACCAATCGTTCTACCTCTACGTTCTCCCGAGCCCGTCGACTTTCGTATCGGTGGGCGAGTATTTCTATGCACTGGCTTTGGCGATCTCGCCCGCCATTGCTCATCTGCTGTATGTGGCGACGAAAACCAGTGGAATGCGCGTCGCGTTTGCGCTGGCCGTACTCCTCGTTGTTGAAACGCTTTGCGTGCTTCTTCTGATTATGGTCGGCAAATACTACGCGACCCCGGCCGCGTCGCTGCAAGCACCCCGTCTGGACGACAAAGGTGCTATCAGATGGTGGGCTCTGACAATCGCGATTTCTTTCATCCAAGCTTTCGTGGTTGCAGTGATTGTGCCGGCATTGCGCTCGGTGAGAAGCTTGTCAGGATGTGTGGAAACGCATGCTTGGGGGAAGCAAGTTGCGAGGTACGAAGTTGAGCAACAAATGAAGCTATCGGAAGAACCTGCGACTACTAGTGCGCGAGAAGCCGGGGACTATGGTTCGAATTTGGATCCAGGCTGGCGCGCCATCAAGTTTATGACGATGGCAGTGCTTGTGTACGTCGCGTCGCGAAATGCTGTTGGGCGAGACGTCTCGTTCACGAGTAAGGGTGATAATGGTCTTTTGTGCCTACAACTGATCTATGTTTGTTTTGCACCAGGTACGCACATTGTATCCTGGGTATTCTGAACTACCCGATGGCAATCTTCGGTGCACTTCCCATGGCCCATTTTGCCAGTATCGTTCCTTTGACGACCGCATCGCAGGCGACAAGGGTCTGGAACGGCCTTTGGCTCGCCATATCGTCTCCCCTCGTTCTCCTGGTTCTGCTCAGCTGGACTCGCATGGGTACGCTCTGGCCTGCAAAGCGATATGCGATGAGGATGCCAGTGCCAACTATCTTGCCTGCTTTGTTGTGGTGTGTCAGACGCGATAGCTGGTTTGTCCTACATCGTGGACAGCTTTGCCCACCATACCAATCTGCTAGCGCTGCCGTACATCTGCTGTATCTACGCGTCCATCCACACGCTGTCGCTTGCAATATGGCTGTATCCTGCGCCGCAAGTCGCTTTGGTTTCTGAGGGAAAGTCGAAGAAAGAGTAGATACTCGACATCGACTCGAGTTACCCTTGCCGAGAGGCCCTGTCTGGATCGATGCAAAGTTGTTTGTTTATGGAGTGCAGCGCGTCGCATCGAAAGTACCTCGATCCAAGCGTGTGACGATAGACGTTTGACCGCTTTGCAGTCACTTGTGCACAGACATGAGGAGAGAAACTGCGGGACTGGTTTACAAGACACTGAAATGACGATGGCTTCGATGCTGGGTACAGCTGGAATGCAAGTGTCGACAGCAGCACGAGGCGTTGTCGACGGGTCGCTGCACGACTGTAAGCTTACACTGTGCCATCACTCCTACACTCATGGCTGTCGAGCACCCAAACGTCTATATGGCAAAGAATCTATTGTCACAACCTTCACCTGCACTTCTGCTATCTACTTCCTCGAAGCACCAATAGCACTGTAAACCTGACATCGATCCGTGAAGCGAATAGCCCTTGCTCGGCCGCAGAAGCAAACTAGTAGATCAGCTTATCGCAAGCAAAATGTGCCGTCCATCGCCTCTACGTTAAACGGAGATCGTATGCACAAAATCTATCGCCTTCTTCTTCATGGCCTGCAGAATACTGCTATTGAAACTGCATGCATCTAGCGATATAAAACTCAGTCACTAGCTAGCGGTCATTGACGCTAACCGCTGTGTGTCTACCATCGCGTTCACAAGGCCTTCTACTCGCGTGTATCACTTTCCATCGCGCGCAAACCAATGACAATGATATCATCACGTGTAGCTTTACCCAGCATGAGTACTTCCGCCAACCTATTCTCGCATACTGGTAGTACCTGTCCTGACTGCAGCATTCGTACCTCTTCATCTCAACCACAGAGTGAACATGGGAGAATATGTGCTGTATGGGTGTGGCTCAGTGTGACACAAGAAGTAGTCCTCAATGCAACATGGACAATTCGTCCACTAGCGCTTTTGCATCGTTTCGTAGCAGGCGACTTGTTCAGTACACTCACCAGCATCCTAACTTCCTCAAACGGGCGGTTAAATCAGAGGGTGTCAGTCAATAACAGCACATATTTGACTGTCTGATAAGCTCGAGAAGCGCATTCATCATCTAGATGGTCGACAGCTACATTCCGCGTATAAGTCAACGAGCCGGTCGCAACTACGTCCTTATTGACCTGACAGTCTACACCTAGTTTCCACGTATAGCCCCTCGACATCTCGGTAGTCAACGTATCTGTCGCTGCGTTGGCTTCGCGACAAAGAACTGAAAGTCGCAGTGCAAATCGTTGAGCTCGAGACGTCCCATTGCTGTGTCCACTCACCGACTTGTGCACTTCCGACTGTGGTCACCGCAGTCGTCGTTGTTGCAGTGCCCACTGACACTAGTCATTGCCCTTACACTTAGTCTCAAGGGAATGGTGTAGCCTCGACGTCAAACTCGAACCGTTGCCCAGGCGACACTTTTCTCCTCACGAGTGAGGCAGCACGTGAGCCTACTGGTCGACTCCGGCATGCGCCTCGTTTTGTAGCTCGACTTCGACTGATCGTCGGTGCCATAAGGTCGCAAATCTGGATCTACTGTGGCACAGAGCGACTGCGTTTCGCTGGTTCTTCCGCACACAACCATCTGTGCTATGTGGCAACACTGACGTCAAGCGTGGAGTGGAAGCTCACACCGTCAGCCGTACGGCCTGGTGTTTGACACCCGTCTTTGACATCCTCCGCATCTTCGGACAGTCGCGAATGGACCTACTCGAAAGACGAGTTCGTGTATCGCGTGCGAGTGTCACAGAGGTTGGCTCACTGTAAGCACTGAGACTATTCAAGAGGAGATTTGATGCCATCCATTAGTATCACGCAGCAGGCAGTCGGGCATCAAAGCCAAAGCTAAGCTCGAGCCAATGGCCTGGCGGACAATCTAGGGGCTCCGACGCTGCTTCACTTCAAGGATGCACGTTGCCGAGCAGACAATCGTTTTTCGTGTGACACCGGATGTGTAAAGGAAGGAATGTGCAGTGTACAGTTTGCTTTCAGCGTTGGCTCAACACAACCACCAAAGGTCTTGGGACTTGGGATATGCTCGTGATAGGAGAGCGCTCGACCGACACGTCCGACGTCCTGTATAGGCTCACTACCATATCTGTCGATCGCCATCAACTCGGTGCCAAACGCCTTCGTCGACGGTTCCGTAAGTAAAGAAGAAGCCGTCCGACATGATCTGCCACGCTGGACTTCGTAGCCTCTTTGTCCGCATGGCTTGTCACTGCAACTGAAACTGCTCGTCGACCAGGTGCGCCTGCTCACCAGCTGGTTGTTGGAATTGTTGGAAGGTGAGTGGTGAGGGAGGAGCGAGCGAGGGAATGCAGAAGTGTGAGGTGGGAATGAAAACCAGAAAGAACCAGAGAGAACCAGAGGGAGAGAGAACCGGAGAGAGAGAGAACCGGAGAGAGAGAGAGAACTCACAGACATACGCACTTGAGCTTTGTCGGTCATTGCAGCATCGACCGCCGATCTCCCTCGTGAGATATAAACGGATTACCGTAGTGACACCGTCTCGCTCCGCTTGTCCCCCGATCCGTTCCGACGAGAGGACGACCTCATGTTTCGAACTGCTTTATGTTTGGTGCTCGTTTGCCACGTCCTCTTGGCCACAGTCGAATGTGTCAACGGGTTCGCTTCGGACGACGCGCGAGCCGCTGCCGAAAGCATGACGCACGCGGACAAGACGACCCGCAGTCTCCAGGCAGCAGAGGCTGCAAAGGAGACGTTGCACGATGAACGGGAGGAGCACGAGGAAAGGGCACCACAGAGCGTGGTTGCCATTGTCGAAGGAGGAAGCCCTGTACTGACGAAAGCTGCGGAAGTAAAGGCTGAGGTCGCGGCGGAGGTGGAGAGTTTGGCGAAAGACAAGGGCCTGGTCGACGAGGCAACGGTCAATAAGTTCAAGACGGCCGTGTCGGGTGATGATGGCTTTCTCAATGCGGTGGCTACAGATGAGCGGGCCAAAAGACTCATGGCCGAGGGACAAACTGCCGAGGTCCCTGCAAAGGCTGAGACTGTGGGAACGAGTAAGGTCAAGGTCTTCGAGACCAAAGCTGATGCACTGAAGGAATCGAAAAAGTACACTGGAGAACCATCCCGATGGGACGAGACGCTGAAACAATATACGGCGTCCAGTGCGAGGATCAAGAAGTTGGAAGACCGTATCGTGCTTAAGGTGTTTCTAATTACGCAGATCATTACGCTTTCAATAATCTTGGGCATTGCTGCTATAGCTTCCGCTTTTAAACAGCGCAACGAGGCACACTAGCCTAGGCTGAGCTGTATGCCTAAATATACACACGCGCGTTGTGTAAATGTAATTGGCTGGCTGTCTGGTGATGATGATCTTTCGTATCGTTTTGTTGGGTCTGTGTGTGTTTTTTTGTTGTGCAGTCAGTCGTGTCCAGTCGTACAAGAAGTGCGTCGCAAAGTGGGAGGAACTCGACCTACGTTTTGTGCGAACGGCCTTTGCAGCGCGATGAGACTGTCCGGGCAAAACGAGCAGAAGTTGTCGTCAAAGGGAGTAAAAGGCGTCGTTCGGCTCTTCCAACATTTGTCTGGCACAATCGGGGCCATGCAGTAGTAGACCGACATTGAGCATGCGTGAAAGACGACATCGTATCGTCAGAAACTGCAGAACTGCGTCGTCATTGTCGGTGCGCATGCGAACTCACTCGATCATCAAACGCCACCGTCTCAATCACACAGGTCTGATGAGCATGGAATGCCAGACGTGTTATGGTAATTTATTGTATACCTTGCTGTGCATTGGTTGGTCTTCGAGAAAGTGTGACGTTTCTTTTTGTTTTTTGGGCTCATACGATCTTCTTACACGAAATTAACCACCGTGCGCACCACCTGTAATCTGTAACTTTTTTTTCGGTGGCCAAATTGTTTTATTAGAGAAAATATATATTTCATCGCCGTTCCGCAACCAAAATCGCCTTTTCCAACGACCCTGTCGCACTGCACACAAAAAACGCTTTTTTGCATGTTTCCAACATCAAACAATGTACCAATCAGTCAACAATCACCAACACGCCGCGACCCAACGAAAGGCTGCAGCAACTGCAATTATATGATGGCTGTTGCTGCGCCCGCTGTGTCATCTAAATTCAGTATAATTCTAGAGCCAAAAAGGGCTTCTGGAAGAGACTATCACTGCGGCCGGCCATCACATCATTATACCCCAGCTTCCATTGCGACTTGACCTTCATCAAAATGTTCAGAAGCGAATCGATATGACATGCCTGAAAAATTGTACCTGCACGTTATAAGGCCTAAAGCAGATGGTCCTAATAACCCCTGCATCCGTTTCTCTCACTACAGTCCGCCGCTATGCTAAATATTGCATCCGGTACATGAACATATATCACATGATCCTGACTAGAAAGGCTGCTGAATACGCCGTAGAGAAAAATCGGTCGCAACGTAGGTAAAACGGGGTTAGCCCGTTATATAAAATTGATACGAATGTATCAATTTTTGGGTATTATCTTTTCAAATGATATTCAATTGACGTTAATCGGAATGAGGTAATGTTGGCAGAATATTACCACCGAAAGTAATACTCGTGGTTGCTCCACTTATTGGTTGATGTACACGGTACATTAACTAAATCAACCACCAATTGATGCTGAACGCGAGCAATGGGTGGCACGCAAGAAACCTACATATGAGACGGTAGTTTATATAATTAGAAGATGAAGAAAAATGATCTACAAAAGAAACATACCTATATTGAATAACAGTTCTGCTTTTCCTCAGACAGAGCCTTCGTGTCCTGTTTGCTTCGGTTGCGCTTCCTCGCCACGTGTACGTGACGTCAGGACAACGCAGCCTTGTGTAGAGGCTACACAAGTTCTTGCCAGTCATCTGGCAAGAGCGTGCTCTGTTACAGTAAGGTCCCGAATACAATCAAAACGGATGTAAACCTTTTCGCTTTTGCCACTTAGTGTACTTTGCATTAGTTTTGACAAAACGTGGCAGGTATTAATGAATTTAAAGAATAGCCTGCCTCGTTTACAGCGAATAGAATACATAAAAACGCAAAACGATGCCATTTAGGGTGAGGACAAATTGTACACTTTAAGACTGCAAAAATGATTCTTTTACGCTATTTCCTCTACTTTTCATATTTGTTATTGCATGTTCAAATTTTCATAATATAAAAAAATACGTCTTCGTGGGAATGTATAAAGCAGCCAAATGTGGTCTGCCGGGAGCCAAAATTGATGAAATACTTCGATTTTTAGGGGCCTGCAACTTAGGAACCCGCATTTACCACTCACTTTTCGCCAAACACCACACACCTTCTGTAACCATTTGGTATTGTGTAAAACATTGTCCTACGTCGATTGGGAACATGCGCTTTGGGTTAATGCGAGTCCAACTGGCGGACGACAATGTGATCACGGATGGTTGTGACACCAAGGTTGCAGTTGTGAAAGCTTCTAGATGCGAAATTCTAAAAGCTAGTATATACATATTTGCAGTACTACAACAAGTAGGTGAGCCCGACAGAGACAGCTAAACAATAATTCACTTTCCATTTTGTACTGCAGAAGACAAGCGCGGGTCACTAAGTGCTAAACCTTCCAATCTAGAAAACCCTGAATTCTCATCTTGCTCTTTTGTTAGCTGAATGTAAAATATATAAAGATTTTTAAATGAAGCGCAATATGTACGCGGTATTACTAAGTTGTTTAAAAGCAGACATATATATAGATGATTTTTAGTATTTGCTGTAAATGATTGACTCTCCACAAGCGCTACCATAACCATGTACTGATTTTACAAATTTTAACCCAAGTGCATCAATTTGTCCTCACTACAGAGAGCATATAAGGTTTTCAATGCAGTCACTGCGGGAGTTAGAAGAGATTGCCTACTCTCTTCCGTTGTGTCATGCTTCTCCGAACTTACTGCTTTGGCGTACAGGCCGCAAAGACTATATTACAAGGTTTAAACTGCGATAGATTCCGATGAGTGGAACTTTGCGATTGGCTTCCAGCAGTTGATGCCCCAGAGCACCAATAGGACGCCCGCGGCCACGCCGGACAGACGGATTGAAGACTTCCGCTGTCAGTAGCATATCTAGGCGACCGGGGACAACTTGCTGTCCGTACGAGGTTCCCTCATCAACAATTTATTGGATGCGCTTCATTCTCACCCGATTGATGTGGGTGTGCTACATACATTACCTCTTTTCGAGGAGGCTGCATCACCACTAGTGTGAAGCAGTAGGTGTAACACGGCACGCTTCTTGCCAGATGACTGGCAAGACCTTGTGTAGACTCTACACAAGGCTGCGTGCTCCTGACGTCACGTACACGTGGCGAGGAAGCGCAACTGAAGCAAACAGGACACGAAGGCTCTGTCTGAGGAAAAGCAGAACTGTTATTCAATATAGGTATGTTTCTTTTGTAGATCATTTTTCTTCATCTTCTAATTATATAAACTACCGTCTCATATGTAGGTTTCTTGCGTGCCACCCATTGCTCGCGTCCAGCATCAATTGGTGGTTGATTTAGTTAATGTACCGTGTACATCAACCAATAAGTGGAGCAACCACGAGTATTACTTTCGGTGGTAATATTCTGCCAACATTACCTCATTCCGATTAACGTCAATTGAATATCATTTGAAAAGATAATACCCATAAATCGATACATTCGTATCAATTCCATGTACGGGACTCACCCCGTTACAATAGGTCCATGCTGATGTAAGTGGTGTTCTAAACTTGAAGTTTGTGCAGTTAACCACAGATCGTTCATTTGAACGCGAGCGAGATCAGTATTAGCGTGTTAGTCATAATTTTTTAATCAGCCGATCACAATATTTTAAAATGGAGGGTGAGTGGTGGTATCGAAAAGTGAGTGGTGAAAAGCGGCTCCAATAACTTCGCAATCAATTTGCCAAATCAAAATTCGAGGCGTTACAAACAAAGCTAGTAGCATACTGTAGTCACCTATGGTATTAGATTTATTTTTACAGAAGTATGGGGTAAGGAGTAGCTGAGTGACAGAGGTCAGAAAATGTTACAGGTTATAGATGTGGCAAACTATATGTTGTAGCCTTAGCCATGATGCAGCACCGGAGGATCCAATGGCTGACCAGGCTAACACCAGTAGAGCCTGTTGACTCTTTCTGTTCATGCTCGAGTACTTACATACATACTATAACCATAATGCATAGTCAGATGTTTAAAACTATCCAACCTGAATAGCAACGCCGGGGAAAATCGAGTGCGGTAGTTGTGTAAGGCTAGATGCTGTCAGTAACGCTCTCGGGGTTGTCTTATTGGGCTACCACGACCCAGTAGACAGACTTGCACCATTGTTTGTATCTCCTACGTCCGCTCCGGCGGTCAATGCTTCAATAGTTTGACGTCGAGCCGGCACGTGGTCACACATATCCCCTTGCAGACCGCTTGCGCGATCCCTTCAACTGACTTTGCGTCGGGCCGAAGCAGTGAAGCGTGGCGAGGGGAAGGCGCCAATTGTAAAATCTTCCCCTGCATGGCCCCTTGCGCGGTCCTCAGTACTTGGACTGTGCGACCGCCAAAGCGGCGACACGTTGCTCGGGGACTACCTCCCTTCTCCATACCACTCCATAAGAGCCGCTCGCGCGACCCGTCGGTCTTATACTCCCAAATTCTATTCTGCGAAATTAACTTGGTCGAGGCAGAACTTAGACTTTCTCGAACATCAAGGAGAAGGATCTGCTTCATTATGGCCGCTGCTGTAAAGGTAAAGATTGACGTGAGCTGAACCGTAAAAAAATTCAAGATGGTATACGTACAGCAGCAAGCGATCCGTCATTTACAGTGTACTGCACAACCAGACGGAGCTTGCCGTTGTGAAGCACGCAGGTAACACGCGCGGGCGTCCACCCATATGGCAGTGCTACCGAAGTTCGTGGAACTTGTCGACACCTTTGACGACCACATCAAGAATTCTATTCAGGTATTCCACCCGTTGTGAAACGGCTTGGAACGACAACGAACCCTAGTCGACTGCAGAATGCCGTGTGATGGTTTTGCTGGTTTCGTTGGTTTCGTTGAAGCGTAACCTTATTTTGGTTCGCGTGGTGTCGTCACCATCGCGTGTCATCGAGTCAGAAAGCCAACAGGTGCGACGCTGTGATCGGCATGTGACCAACGCGACGATATGTACCCTACATGCTCTTTCTATGCCTCAATGATAAGTCCTTTGATATATCCGAAACATCAACTACATATCCGCAAAGGACTCTGTAAGATCA